CTGTTAGATTCTCTTTCCACAACCAAAGTCCATTGTAGGAATCAGAAGAAGAGGGAGGGAGGGAAGGAGGGAGGGAGGGAGGGAGGGAGAAGGAGGGGGGGCGAAAATGAATTATTAACTTACTATTGAATTCCTTTGCTAAAACTAAAATAGAATAAATCAATCTAGTTTCCTTTCTTCCCAGATAAGTACTTTGGGGTTGAGAGCTATAGAGGATTTTGTTGTGGTGTTGGTTTTTGTTTTTAATGTTTTACGGTCTCACTCTAGCCAAGGCTAGCCTAGAACTACATAGATGAAGCTGGCCTCAAACTTTCAGTAACCTTCCTGTCTCAGTGTCCCAAGCACTGAGATTCTAGGTGTGAATCACTTTATCCAGTTGTCACTTCAGAGTTTTATAATTGGTCCTCTGTATCCATGGGTTTGGCATCTGCAAATTCACCAACTAAAAATCAAAAATATTCAGGAGGGGGAAAGCCCCCCCCCAGTCTTTTTTATACTCCTTGTCATGATTTTCTATTAACAATAAAACAAAAGAACTATTGACATAGCATTAACATCTTATTAGAGATTATAAACAACCTAAAGGTTATTTGAAGTATATGAAAAGATACGCATGAGATATATTCAAGTACTGTGCCATTTTATATAAAGGGACTTGGGCATCTGCAATGGGACTGCCTGGGTACACATGGAAAGTCTTGGAGACTGGTTAGTCTCTCTTGAATAATGGGAATTAACTACACTTAATCTGTAGTCATGGTTAGCAGGGTTTTGAAACACCAGGTTCAAGTTGGTCATTTGTCAGCAAGGGATGTTATGTCTATCCAATAATTTCATCACATATTCCTCCTGTCCGCTCTGACTCATCTTGCCTACGACATGCACCTCCACTGATGATTTTATTTTCTCCTGGGCTACCATGAGCAGGTAAAGAAGTAAGCTGGTCAATGTACCAGGCTTCTGGTTAAGACATAGTCTCACAATGTAACCCCAGTTGGCCTGGAACTCACTATGCAGATCATCCCAGGCTGGCCTTGATCTCACAGAGATCCATTTGCCTCTGCCTCCTGAGTGCTGAGATTAAAAGTGTGTACCATCACTCCTGGCTCTGATTGCTATTTTTAATTTTGGCAAGTATTAGTCATCATTCACCCGTATCTATGATGTTTCTCCCTACCCACACCCAATCAGGTCAATGATGGTCTGTGTGTGCTAAAATGAAAGAAAAGTTAGTCTGGCCTTGTCACCAAATTTATTGACTGCTCTCAGAGTGGCAAGGCACTACAGGCAGGTCCTGCATGACTGCAGCAGCTTACAATAAACAGTCTTTGCCCTTTCAGCACTGGAGGAGAACGAGACAGTCAACTCAGAGCAGAGACTGTCTTCTGAGGACAGAGATGCATGGACTCAAATCTCCCTTTTCCTGCCTACACACTCTTGAGATCTTGGGCAACCTACCTTGGTATTTCAGTTTCTACATCTATACAATTCACATGGCCACATCTAACTTGCAAGCTTGTTCTATGAATTGAATGAAGTTTTTGTCAGCATGTATATGGTGTGTAAACCATTGGTTTCAATATAAGTACAAAGTATAAATCACATGCTCAGCCTATAAAGTGCATATTTAAAACAAGTATAAGTGGACATGCTGGTGTAACACAGAATAATGTGTATATTTCTCAATCAGCAAAGACAAGTTTCTGGCAGAGGCAGATATTTCATCATACCCCCAGTGCTCCAACTTGGACAAAGGAGAAGGGTCATTTCATTTCTCTTCAAGAGGGTGTCAGCCCAGTGGGATGGCTCATACCTGTAATCTCGGCACTTGGAAGGTTGAAGTAGGAAGACTGTTTCAAGTTCATGGCTAGTCTGGACTACAGAAGTGAATTCCAGACCAAAAAAAAAGTAAATGCCTTACTCTGAGGGCTACCAGCAGTCCTTCTTAATTTCTATTATGAAGAACATCTGTTACAGGGCCACTGCATCGTTTGAAGAGTGGTGAGAGAAGGGGTGATGCGATAAAGGATAGTCACATATCTGAGGTCTAAGTCGAAGGCTGAGCTTCACTAGTAGATTGTGTTAAGAGCTCATTTGGTACAATCGAATCATCTTCCTACTGCAAATAAAACATTTCAAGATGATGAAGACAGTAAAACAGCACAGCAGGAAATATCCCAGCAGCAAAGACCAAAATAAGTCACTCTTAGCATCTGACAGCATATAGAGAAAGATGGAATGGCTATCAGCAGCTGTTTTATTAGTTTGGGGGGCGGGGTGGGATAGGCAGGCCAGTCTTAGAAATAGCCTGATTAGGGCTAGAGAGATGGCTCTGTGGTTAAGAGCACCAGCTGCTCTTGCAGAGGACCCAGGTTCAATTCCCAGTATTCACATGGTAACTAACAACCACCTGTAACTCTACTTCCAGAGGATCTAACACCCTCTTTTGACCTCTGTGGGCCTTGCATGACACGGGTGCACTAACATACAAGTAGGCAATACACTCATACATGTAAAATTTAAAAGTAATAAATAAAATATAAAAAAAGAAATAGCCTGATGAGAAACTTTCTTTTTAATTTTAAAATTAAGGTAGGAGGTTAAGACCAAGATGCAAACCAAAGTAGCCCCTTCAAGAAGCGAAAGGTAGGGGAATGAATCATTTTTAGTAAAAAAGAATCAGTGCTCCTTGGACAACTGACTGCCTTCATGTGTGAAACAGAAAAGAGGCAAGATAAACCAGAAAGTTAAAAGATTTCTGAGTCTACTGAAACCATGTGAAAAGTACGTAGGAAACAGGGATACACTGAATGCCAAAAAGAGTATTTGCTACCACGAACTGAAAGAAATGCATTAGCTCTTAATGATACATTTATTTATTTATTTATTTATTTACTTACTTACTTACTTATTTATTTATTTATTTATTATTTTTTGTCTTTTTGAGACAGGGTCTCGCTGTCTCTCACGGAGATCCACCTGCCTCTGCCTCCCAAGTGCTGGGATTAAAGGCGTGCGCCACCACACCCAGCACAATGATGCTTTTAAAAAAGGAAATCTCTAGTTATCTCTGGAGGTTCAGGGGGAATCAAAACATTACTCTGAAAATTGATAAATGGGGAAAAAAAATAAGACTTTCCCTTCTTTCCTATGCAACCTAAATTTCAGGAAACCCAAACAATTTATCAGAGAAAGACCCTTATGGACAGTATTCCAATTAATAAATGCATGGAAATGAGGGATTTAGATTGTTGTCACATCTGTACTCCCAAATGAAGTGGATAAGCTTCAGCCATCAATAAGGCTGAAAAAGCCTAAATAAAATCATTAGGTTAAAGATAAAAAGTAAGGTGACATGACCTGACCCCACTAATCAATCTTCATTTCTCAAAAAGACATTCTGACATTATGTCTCATGTTATGACAGATTTTACACAGTACCACCCAAAAGGGATAGGTACTTTTGAACCTGAATTTAATCAAGACTCCAAAGCAAACTGCCAGATACAAGAACAGAAGGCCAAGTTAGCAGTCACCCAAAGAAAGCAAGACACTGTCCTGGACAAATGATCCAACTCTGTCAATATTATGAAAAAACAAAAACAAAAAACGGTGGGGTCTGTTATAAAATAAAATAGATCTAAAAGCCTACTATGCAAAAGCAACATGTGAGCACCATTTAGCTCCTGATTCTAATAATCATAACAAGAAAGGTATCTTTGAGAAAATTTGAACATGGGAATTATATTAACGAATGCTAATATTCTTAGGTATGAAAAATTTTTTGATTTGCTTGTTTTGTTTTGAGATAAGAACTCAAGAGCTCACTCTGCAGTCCAGGCTGACAATCCTCCTGGTTCAGCCTTCTGAGTGCTGGGACTACAGGTATGAGCACTAGCATGACTGAGAGAGGTTTTGTTGCTGTGTTGTTGTCATTTTATAATGTTCTTACCTTTTCAGAGATGTAAACTGAAACTTTTATGAGATGACTTAAGACTTAAATTATACCAGCAACCTCACCCCCGAGAAAAGGGAAGGGACAAATAAATGAAACTAGACTGGTAAAAATGTTGGTAATTGCTGAAATCTGAGGGTTTACTATGCCATTCTCTTTTTTAAAAATATGATTGAAGTGTTGTGGGATCGCAAACGCCTTACTTTGCCAATAATATTTAAGAGGTAGTTATGGTCCTCCTAAAAGCAGCTTAGTTTCTGTCCTACTTGTCCAGAAGTGCAAAGTCTTAAATCAGTATGCACAGTGAATTGAATACTATTAGACGTGACTGAACCACGGAACCAAGGAGCTCTGCTGTATTAACCAAATGACAGGTTAATTTGTCCCAGTATGAGATAGTCTGCAATGCACCTGGGTTGAGCAACACAGCCCACAAAGAGCTGAGTCGGTGTCAGATTGTCTGGATTGGTGAGAATCTAAGGCAGTGGGGACAAAAGCTACACTTATTCCTAAATCAGATCTCAGTCAATGTGAGTGGAACACTTCACTAACTGCAACACACTGAGCTGCTTCTTTCCCAGTGAATTTCTTTTAGTTGAGATCACTCAGCTCCAATCTGGAGGTATGGCCCATGGAACACAAACCTCAAGGTCCACAAGAGGCTCTAAGCCATGAGAGCTTTACATTAGCACCAGTATCCTAAAAGGGAACCACCCAACCAATCTCCCATGCCCATTAATCCCCAGCCAACCAGCCTGGGATATAGTTTGTTATTTGTCTCTTATCTAAAATCCCTTCTCTTATGAATTGTTTATGACTTCCACAAAATTCTTATGTTGAAGCCCAGTCCCTCAGTGTGATGGTATTTGGAAATGGGGACTTAGATGGTATTTAGGATTAGATTAGGTTGTGAGGGTGGGGCCCTCATGAGAGAATTAATGGCATCATAAGAGGAAAAGAAAAATTGTTCTCCTTTGACTGGAGAAAAGCCCTAGGAACACATAACAAGAAAATAGTCACCAGCAAGGCAAGCACTGAGTCTTACCCAGAACAGGACCAGCTTGAACACTGATCCTGGATATGCCAACTTCCAGAACTGTGTGAAAACAAACATATCTTCAGGTCACCAAGTATAAGGGCATTTTGTTGCAGTGGCTTGAGCTGCCTAATACAGGAAGACATCATTTCATTTGGTTTTACGCCTTCTTTCAAACTCCTTCCCATCCCTTTGATGACAGTTCCAAAATCACAACTGTAGTTCCAAAGCAGGAGGGTGAAATTATTAAAAATTATGAATTTCCAACACAGAACAACTTGATGATCAATAGTCTTCCAATTAAAAGTGGAGGGGGGAGGCATTCAGTTAAACTCCCAAAAGAACTAATACAGTATATCAGAATCAAAGAAGTTAAAGTATATGTTATTTGAAGGAACCACATTCAGAATAATTTGGAAAATAAGGGACAAAATGTACATTGGCAAGGCACACATCATCCCAGGAAGCAAGAAACTGGAGTTCTTATGCAGATGAACAAGGCAGATCTATTTATGCAGAAACTTGGGCAATTCTTGTCACAAACTGACTGATTGCCCTCATGTCTTCAGTATTCTGTGCCATGAAAAAGTAACTGTCAAGGATAATAAGAGCACAATTTGACCTACTTTCCCCTAGACTCTCGCAGTCTGTAACTCTGGATCTTTCGTTTATTTAGCCACCACATCTTGAGGAGACATTTCCTGGCTTTCTTTGTAAGTAATCCTATATTCCACACATTAAGATTACTTGTGACCAATTCTGAAACCTCTCTGGTGACTGACTTTAAGACCATCTAATAGCACCAGGGAATTATAAGATCATCCCTCCAAGAAGGCCCAGGGGCAGACCTACACAAGAAAATGCTTAGGCAAGTGGGACTGCAGCCTAGAGAAGCAGACCCCCATCAATTCAGATCCTTCCCACCTGTAGAAAGCTACACCAAAACAAGTGTCTCCCCAACCCTCAAGTTACCACATGCCACGTTACAAGAGCTACAAGTCTCCTAAAATCTCTTTTCAGGGCAGACAACTAAGACTTCATGGCTTAAATTACAGCCCAAAATCATCTACATTGTTGCCATGTCTCAGTAAAGACTACATAATGATAAAGAATTGTTTTAAAATTGAACAGGATACACCAAAGGTGACCCCCAAGCTCTGATGAGCCGGGATGTCTGAGTCTGTGGATGTCATGAAGTCCTGCCAGGACCTCCTGAGCGGCTTAAGGATCCCAGGAGACAATGAGCAGGCCGGTACCCGTTCTTTTAACATACAAAACATGCCTGACTTGCTCAGATCAGGAGATGCACTTAGACCACCACCAGGAAAGTTCCTTTACCAGGAAATCATAACTGAACACACCATCAGGAAGTCAATATTTGAGATTCCCGGAGGCGTGCATTCCCCTGTTCAAGGGGGCGTCCCGGAGTACCAAGTGCTGCAGGAGCCAGAACTCAGCTACAAGCCTTCTTGTAACTGCCTGGTCTCCCCGAGTGGCCAGAGCGGTCCACAACAAACACGCACGTCGCAGGCGTCCTGCAAACCCCGGACTTGCTATGGGACACAGGGCTGCTGACTGCTCGTCGCCGGACACCTGCGGATTCCCCTCATGGGCAGCAAACAGCCTTTCTTCCCGCGATGGTCCGGGTGCCCCTGGGTCAGGTCAGGTGCATCTGTGCGGAAGGGAAGCCGTCGCTCCCCGAGGGCGCCCCGCAACCCCGCGGTCCTGGGCACCTCTTTGCGAGTCCAGCAGAACAGAGCCCCTCCCGCCACCTCCCCAACTTCCAGGTGGCCGCGGGCTCCACGTGCCCTCCGGGCCGTTCAGTACCACTCACCCGGGCCCCCGCGGCGCTCCGCTTCCTCCGCAGCGTGAGCCCGCTCCGCAGCAGCGCGGGCAGGTCCCGCAGTCGCGGCCGCAGCGACGAGGGAGGCTCGCGCTCCGGCTCGCGGGCGCTCGGGCTGCGGCGCAGGGGGCCGTCCGCAGGGGTCCCGGTGGCCGCCGAAGCCAGGGCCGGGCTCTCACACGGTGGCTGCATCTTGACCGAGCCCACGGCCATCCTCATGCTCTGACGGCGGCTGC